GGCCACCTGGGGGCGTATTCCTTCCAGCTGCCGGGAGAAGCACATGGGCTCACCATCCCACACCTAAGAGAGCGCAGGCACGGGCCCCATCAGAGACCTCTGCTGCCTCACCCAGGCATGGCTGAAGGCTTCCCAAGGGTGAAGAAATCCCTCTCCCACTCAGCTTCCAAGCAAAAATAAGACCGTCTGCAGCTTTTGTAGTTACAGAGGAACCATCCAAAATGGGCAGCCAGTGTGCCCGACTCAGCGGCGCTGCCTGAGTCTGCAGAGAGCCTGAGCCCATTGCTGTGAAAGGGGGAGATCTGCCACCAGTGTGACCAATGCAGTGATGCTGCCTGGGTCTGCAGAGAGCCTGAGCCCATTGCTGTGAAAGGGGGAGATCTGCCACCAGTGTGACCAATGCAGTGATGCTGCCTGGGTCTGCAGAGAGCCTGAGCCCATTGCTCCAAGAACTGCCTCTATTCTCTTCAAATGCCCTAAGAGGCTAGTTTAAATAGTGTTGCAAACCCCAGGGGTTCATAGATCATGCACCAGCCCCCCTCCCCCCGAAATCACGAGATTGACTCCCAAATCCTGAGATTTCAGTAAATAACCCTTTGGGGTCTTACTTACTCTATGGCCTCAGGCCCGGTAGGTGGGGTCACATTTCTGAGCTGCTCTCCCCACACACAATGTCCGGAGAGTGACTTGGCTTTTTAAACAGAAGCTGAGTTTTTTCTCAGCATAACCCCATGACTCCAGGCACTCTGGCTTGCAGAGAAGGCCTGAGCTGCTGATGCCACAGGATTAACTCTTCCATTGTCTCCCCAGAGCATGTGTGGGAGACTGATGGGGAGTGGGGGGTAGTAAGACCTACCTGGGGAGGGGGGCAGAGGTATGGTTTTAGCTGAGTCTTGACCAGCTCTTGACCAGCCTTCTGCCAGTGGCTGGAGCCTGCCCACCCCTCCCAGGTGGAGATCAAAGGAAAAGACCCTGCCCTTCCAGAGGTCAGTGATAGGAGGCACTGAGACAGCTGAGAAGAGGGACTGGATGCGGCACAACCTGTCTTATCCTGACATTTGGGAGGGGAGGGTGTAGGATTGAATCAGGGTCCCCATGAGCCTCTGGGATCTCTCCCTGGCTGTGGAGGGGAGTGGGGTCTAGTGGTTAAAGCTGGGGAGTTGAGAGCCCAAAGTGGGAGGCAGGGGAAGGGAGTGAAAGCAGAACTGGTGCTTATTATTGTCCTCTCCCGGACAGCGCTTATGGCTTTACCAGCCTGACCCCCCCCATCCCCCATCCCTGCCTGGGTGCATCCCACCCTCCTTCACCAGCGCCCCCACCCGGCTCACCGATAGGCTTCCTGCCGTGCCTTCAGCTCCTCTTGCCGGTGCTGCAGCAGCAGCGGGTGCTGGGCGTCCTCCGCCGCGGTTTTGGCTGGAGGGAGAAGGGGGAGTTTGAAAGCCGATGGCACGCCAGGGTGTTAGCCACGCAACGGGCCCACCCTGCCGTGTTTGTGTGTGTGTGGAGGATGGCTGGTCCCAAACAGAGTGAGAAACAGCACCTCCTGCTGCTCCCCCAGGGAATCAGGGAGGACGCGTGCATTCTCTAACAAGACAGCATGTGGGCAATGGCTGCCGCCTGCAAACTGAGTCATGCATGGACATGTGACTGGCCCATGTGACTCCAAACTCCATTTTGCTGTAATTTTCCACCGTAAGAACAAAGAGGTGTCCTTACACCTGGAGGAGGCTATAAAAGGCAGCTGCCTCATCTCCATCTTGTCTTCGTTCCTGCTTCATAACGAGTGTCACTGGTGGTGATCCTGGGAAACTGGAGTGTCTAAGGGAATTGCTTGTGTGACTTATGGTTAGCCAGTGGGGTAAAGCTGAAATCTTCTCTGTTTGGCTGGTTT